TATGGATTCTCACTAAGTCCCTAAGACGCCCAGGCTGGGCTTCCTCCTGCCTCAGTCTCCCGGGCGCTGGGATTACAGGTGAGACCACCACATCTGTTCAGTTCAATCATGCTTAGTCCTCAGAGCAGCTTCTCGGGGCGCCCTGTCACTGGGCCCTCCTTGTTACAGACGAGGGGAAGTAGAAGGACAGGATTTGAATTCACTCTGCTCCATAGCCAGTGCCCTCCACACGCGACCCTATCTGCCTCCTTCCTTCCCAGCAGTGCATACCACAACACACATACACACTCAAAATTAGACAGCCACACACAACCTTTAAGGCTAGTGGCCTGGGTCTGAGCTTGCTCATTCCACAGTTCCCTCTGAAGGGTCTTCTCTGCGCTAGGCAGTGGGGCGGCCATGTGGGGAGGGCAGCAGCGAGGGGGCAGAGGTCACACATGACATTTCATGCATGGTGGATGTCGTGGGGAATGAGGGATACTCTCATGCACATCAGCTTGCAGAGCAGAAAACCTCATCCTCTAGGGCTGGCCAGATGGCTCAGCAGATTAAAGCACCTGCTTAGGCAGATGCAGGGACCAAGGTTCCATCCCAGCATGGGCATGCCGTGCTGGCCCCACCCCCAGGGAGGGCTGAGACAGACTGGGCATGGTGACACTGGCCTGCAATCCCAGCTCATGGGAGGCTGAAAACAGGAGGATCACTAGAAGTCCGATCTGTATAGTGAGACCCTGTAGACCCTGTACTAAATACATTAAAAAAAAGAAACCTCGCCCTCTAGTGGTTTGAACAGTGCCTCCCTCTCCCTAAAGATATTTGTACATTGTATGCTTGCAACCTGCGAATGTGACCCTGTTTGGAAAGACCATCTTTTGGACATGGTACTGTATGCCTGTGATCCTAGCACTCTTGGGAGGCTGAGGCCGGAGGATCACCCTAAGTTCAAGGCCAGCCTAGGCTACATAGTCAGTTCAAGGCCAGCCAGAAGAAAGAAAGAGAAAGGAAAGATTGCTTTTGTAAATGTAATTAAGCTAAGGATGTGGAGCTGAGATCATCCTGGGTGGGGATGATCCAGCAAATCTTAGAAGAAACAAAGGAGGTGAGGACACAGACCTCCAGAAAGGATGCATCTGAAGGAGTAGTCAGACTGGAGTGATGGGGCCACAAGCTAAGGAACACTCGAGTTACACGCAGCCGGATGAGGCCGGAAGAACCCAGCTCTAGGGGTGTGCAAGGAGCTGTGGACACTTTGCTGCAGCCTTTGTCCTGGGAATCAAAGTCAGGATCTTGTGCTTGCCAGGCAGGTGCTTATGCTGCTGAGCTATATCCCTGGCCTTCTTTTTTCTTTTTGAGACAGGGTTTTGCTGTGTAGTTCAGAGTGGCCTTGAACTCTTAGGGATGCTCCTGTCTCAGTCTCCTGAGTGCTGGGATTACAGGTGCGCCCCACTACATCTAGCTACATTTCTATTGTTTTTTTTCTTTCTATTGTTTTAAGCCACTTGATTTGTGGAGATTTGCTGTGGCAGGCACGGGGAAGTAACCCTCCAACCTGGATACCATAGCCCCAAGGCAGGGGCAGGGGCACTAGCAACCCCCATCACCTGTCAGGTGCCCAGATGCATGTACATTGCTCTGTCACAGTCACCCGGAAGTGCATGTGCCTTTTTGATTGTGCCAGATCTCCCTCCTCACCCCAGGTGGGCCGAGGTGCCCTGGTGGCCCACCATCACGGCAAGGGTGTAGTAAGAGGAAGGCAGGAGACCCCAGGGAGAGGTGACAGGGAAGCAAGAGTTCTGGGTGACGCTGGGGAAAGGCTCCAAGACAAGGCATCCTGTCCTGGAAGGTGGAAAAGGCGTGACTAAGGATTTCTTCTTGGAGCTTACAGAAGGAACCGACCTACTCATTCCTGGAATGTGGCCCAGGAAACAGATCTTGCTCTTCTGAGCTGTAGAACTATTCAGTACTGATTTCTTTTGAGACAGAGTCTCGCTATGCAGTTCAGGCTGGCCGCAGTTCAGGCTGGCCTTCAGCTCACTTTGTAGCCCAGGCTGGGCTTTTTTTTTTTTTTTTTTTGGTGGAACCGGGGATTGAACTCAGGCCCTTGCACTTGCCAGGGAAGCGCTTATTCTGCTGAGCCATCTCCCTGGCCCTCAGGCTGGTCTTGAACTCACAACAATCCTCCCTTCCTCAGCCTCCCGAGGGCTGGGATCATAGGCGTGTGCCACCACACCCAGGCTATGTGTGTCATTTTTAAAAAGCCATTGAATTTTGGCGATGTGTTACAAACGCTGTCTTCTTTTTTTTTTTTGTTATTTATTTTTTGGCAGAACCGGGGATTGAACTCAGGCCCTTGCACTTGCCAGGGAAGCACTTGTTCTATTAAGCCATCTCCCCGGCTCTGACTGTCTTCTAGAGACCTTCTCTAGAGTCAAATACAGGCTGTGCTTCTCAGGGGGGTCCTGCGGAGCTACAGGGCAAGAAATATGGCCCACTCTCTGTGAGGCAATAACACCGAAATGATACTGTGCTGTCCCCAGAGCTGTGTCAGGAACACCCTCCTCCCCCAGACACCCAAGAAGGCTCAGAATTGTAGTCAGCTGTGGGTCCCCACCAGGACCCCTGAGAAATACACACACACCTAGGGACATTACAGTGTTCTGAAAGGCTACCCTGGGGAGACGCAGAAAACAATGGCACAGTGACACAATTCCTGACCAAATACACCAGAAGTCTCCACGTCCCATACATTCATATGACACAGGTGTGCACATACAAACATGTGTCCTCCCGACCACCTCAGGACACCACCAGCCGCACAGGGAAATGATACAAAAATAGTTTATTACAAAAGAAATCTAACCCTGGCGCCTAATAATTTACATTGCTACCAGTGCCAGCCTAAGCCCCTCTCTCCTCATCCACCTGGACAGAGCCGGCAAAGGAGGGACTGTTCCCTGGTTCCATTAGCTCACAGAGTGGACAGGAAATGAACATTTGGGTGGAGTTCCAGACCCAGGATGCGGGGTCAGGGGGAGGGCAATGCCTGAGAGAGCCACAGTCTGTGGTGGGTGGGACAAGGCGGGGGAATCTATGCACGCCAAGGGCTCAGGAGTAGGTGCGTGTGCTTTGGTGCAAATCCTGGTCCTGAAGATTGGGGGGGGGGGCAGAGCAAGATCGTCACAGTTTCAGGAAGGGCAGACCCCGCTAGTGCAGGGAGGCCCCTCCTCATGAGTTCAAAATCTGCCCCCCCATCCTTCTCAGCTGCCTCCTGGAGCTGGGGAGGGGGCCACCGGTCGCCCAGGGCCTCGGAGAACCCCAGGAAAGGGCAGGAAGGCAGGTGGGGATGGGGTTGGAAGGAAGAAACTGGGGCGAACCAGGGATAATCCGGGTGGGTCCTTGGGGGGAGACTGGGAAGGCGAGGAGGATGGTGAAGCAGAAAGGAGACCTGTGGGAAGAGACAGGCAGTGAGTGGGGCTGTAAGGCCAGGCCCAGGAGCAGGGCTCCCAAGAGGGGCCAAGGGCGCGTGCGGGCGCTCACCATTGGAGCTGAGGTGGCTGCTGCTTTCAGGGGAGGTGGTGGCACTTCGGTCCGGGGAGGGCTCGGTCTGTGTTGCAGAGGCAGCCCTGGTGGCCTTGCCCCTCAGGATATCGATGACCTGTGAAAGAGGGGCGTCACCACAAGGCCGCCCCCGCAGGGCCCTGCGTACCCCAGTCCTGCCTGCACTCACCCTGCGGCTGCGCGCCACCATGAGCGGCGTGTCGTTGTGACAGTTCTTGAGGCCACTGTCGGCACCACTGCGGATCAGGGTGCGCACGAGCGGCAGGAGCCCGCGGCCCGACGCAGAATGCAGCGCCGAGCTGCCCGAGTACATTTGCGCATTCACGTTGGCACCGTGCTGCAGGAGTAGGGTGGGGGTCAGGAGCCGCGACCCGGCAGGGGAGCGCTGAGGGCAGGGTCCTGGGTCTACACTGGGGTGGGGAGAGGACAGCGCGGAAGCCGCTCCCACCTGCAATAGGAGCTGCACCATGCTGAGGCTGTTGTTTTCTACGGCGTGGATGAGCGGGGAGCGGCCACTCTTTATGTCCTGCGGCGGGAGGGACAGGTCTTTTAGTTTTTTCAACTCCTGCCCCCAAATTGGTGGCCCGAATTCCGTTGGCTTGGTCCACCCTTTCTAGTACTTCAAAAACTACCCAAGGGCGGCCGGGTCCCCACCAAAAGCCCCAAACGGCCCATCAGGTCCACCCCCAACCCGGACACGCCCCCCAAACCGCCCATCTAGGCCCGCCTCTCCCCAGGCCACGCCTCCTCTGCTTACCACCGCATCAATGTCCGCGCCGCGCTCTAGCAGAAGCAGCACTGCTTGGTGGCATTTGGTATTCACTGCCACATGCAGGGCGGTGAGCCCTGAGGGAGGGGGACACTCAGGTAGACCTGGGCCTGGGGCTCTGAGGTCTTGATGGACTCTCGGTCCAGGTGGGACAGCCCCAGCCTGCTCCGCAGAGGGTGAGGAGGACTCACCGTCGTAATTGCGGGCCTCCAGGTCCACGGAGCCCGGGGCCGCGCTGTCCAGCAGCGTTTGCAGGCAGGGCAGGCTGCGGTGCTCACACGCCAGGTGGACTGCTGTCTGGCCATGCCGATCCAGCGCCATGGGGCTGGCACCAGCGCTCACTAGGAGCTGGACCATCTCTGGTAACGCAGTGATCACAGCCAAGTGGAGTGGGGTCTGGAGAAGAGCGACTGTGAGGGACAGGTGTCCCACCTAGCACCCCAACCCACCCACCTCTGGGCCTCGTCTCCCAGCTTCAAGAATCCCCCTTTTTTTTTTCTCTGTGAGAACCCAAAGTTTAGGACCTCTCTGTCCTCGCTCCCTGGCCTGGTCCTCTCTCACCTGGAAGTCAGGTCCCAGAACACCAACTCCTCGTGGGGTACCTCCCTGCTCTGACCCAGCCCCAGCCCCCAGCACCTCACCTGCCGCAGATTGTTGTAGACATCCAGCTCACGGCCTGCGAGCTGGAAAAGGATCACCAGGCGTTGCACAGCATGCAGGTTGTCCTGCACCACAGCGATGTGCAGAGGCCTGGGGTGAGGAAGTCACACACATTAGTGGCGTCACCTCTGTCCTCCATGCTGTTAGCCCCGCCAGCTACAGCCTGTGCTGCTTCCCTGATTCCCTTCTTCTGTCCCTGGGTCCCCTTCTGGTGGCCTCCAGTCCCCTCCCTGGTGGCCTTCCTGCTTCTCCTCTGCCCCACTGCCTGTCCCCCAAGACAGCCAGAGAGAGTCTTTCAATGTATTTATTTATTTTGGTCCAGGGGTTGAGCTGAGGGCCTCTGCACCAAGCTACATGTCCAAGGCGCTCCCCTTTTCATTTGGAGACAGGGTCTTCCTAAGTCTCTCGCTTGCCTGGGCTTGCTCAGACTTGCTATCCTCCTGCCTCAGCCTCCCAGAGTGCTGGGATCACCTGCTCCCGATGCCACGCCCAGCCCCAGCACAGAGCAGTCTTTTAGGTCATGCGTGCTTCCCCGAAGTTCTCGGCATGGCCCAGGAGGCCCTGGGAGACCTGTTTCCCCTTGGGGGGCTGCATCTCATTGCAGTCTCCTCTCTGTGCCAGGTCTTCCTTCGGCCAAAGCAGTGTGCCCGGGGGATGTGCAAGCCCTCCGCTAGAAGTGCAGGGCAGCTGGTCCCTCTCTTCTCTTGCCTTGCTTTGCTTCCCACCCTCCCTAGCCCTTGTTTCCTGTCTGAATCCCCCCACCATCTGCTCAGGCAGGGCGTCTTGCTGGCTACATTCAGTGCCCAGAGCTTAGGACGCTGATTAGTGTCTGCAGGGACACGCCAAGTATATGGATCCAAGTCAAGCACTACCCTGGCTGTCCTCGAAGCTGCCATCACCATCACCCTCCCCCTCCGCCCCAGAGCTGCTTCTCCCTTGACAGGAGAGGGTGAACTCAGTGCCCTCCAGATCTTATCCTCCAACCTGAGAGTCATGCAGGGGCTATTTGTGGGGAGAGGGAGACTTGGGCACAGGGACATCGTTCAAGGGCTGGGCTCAGTAGTTTCAGAAGCCCCTTCCAGACTTGAGGAACCCTTCCCCCAGCTTCTGGAATGGCATCAGCTTTCAGACACCTCTGGGAATTACCCTCTGCTGAAGAAAACTGCTCCCCAACCTCATACTCCATGGGGATGGGGTCGGGGGACTCTCCTTGCACAGTGCCAACCAGTGACACAAAGCATCAGCCTCAGGGCTGGGGAGATGGCTCAGTAGGATAAGCGCTTGACTGGCAAACGCAAGGATCTGAGTTCAATCCCCGGTTCCACCAAAAAAACCCAAAGCACCAGCCTCGAAACCATCCCAGGATCAGCATGGCATTCCCTGTGGGGTAGCTGAGGGTCCCCGTCCCCCCACCCCCGCCACCCGCGAGACTACACATCAGCTCAGCCTCTCTCGGGTGTGGATGAAAAGTATGCTTATTCCCCAGAGACCCCAGACTGGAGACAGTCATTTAGAACTGTGGGCAGTTCATGTGGTGGCACTCTGGAAGTTAATCTCAGCACTCTGGAAGGCTGAGGCAGAAGGATTGCAAATGCCAGCCCAGCCTGGGGCAATTAAAAATAGAAGGCGAGGCCTGGGAGATGGCTCAGGAGAATAAGTGCTTGTCCGGCAAGCACAAGGGCCTGAGTTCAATCTTGGGTTCCATGGGGGGGGGGCATATAGGTGGTCACAAAGGCCCTGGGTTCAATTCCTAGTTAAGGGGGGGTGAGGAGTGTCTGAAGACAATGGGGAGATTTCAAGTGTGCAGGCAGGAGTGTGCAAGCATGTGTTTGCGTGGGTTGGGGAACAAGGCTAAGGCAAGAGGCTGCCTGCACCTGCACAGGCTTCATGACCTTTACTTAAAGGCCTTCACCAGAGCAGCCATGCTCAGACACCTAACCCCCTACGAAGCAGGGATCGCTCTGCCCGATCTGCAGCAAAACTGTCACTCTCCCAATTAAGGTCGTCAGTTAAGCCTCTTCCCAGCACCTTCTGGGAGCCTAGACAACCTTTGGGGACCCAGCAGAGCCAGGGGGTGCAAACTGGGCTGCTGCACCCTTAGCTGCGCGTTGGTACCCAGGCGCGCGCCTCAGGAGCCCCCCTGGCCTTCCTGGCGAGGCCCAACCCACAAGAGCAAGGCACGCGGGGGGGGGGGGGGGGGGGGGGGCGAGGCCGTGCAGGTGGATCCTGGAAGACAGATCCCAGTTGCAGCAAGTCAAGATTAAACACACTGTCAGAGGAGGGGCCGGACCTAGTCTGGGGTCCCCGGGAACCCCTCTGGCCCTCCAACGCCTGTCCCCTGCGTCCCTGGACGCCGGACGCCTGGCCTGGGTCCCTCTCGCAGCCGCCGGGGTTAAGCGAGGGCAGAGGCAGCGAACGATTTCAGAGAAACCGTCCAGGCCTGAGTTCCCATAAACGCGCGGGCCGCAGGGGGTGGGGCGGGGCTGGAGGAAGTGGGGACGGGAGGGGCGGCCCAGCCCTCGGACTTCCAGTAACAGGTCCGCGGGGCGGGGCTCCGCTTCCTGCTCCCGGGGGAGGGAAGCCGGTCCCGCCGGGGATCTACGCGGCCACCCCCGACACCCTAGCGTTCGTCCTCGAGGGGGGAGGGAAGCCCAGCCCAAGGAGATCTAGCACCTTTGGGGCCGGGAGGCAGAGCCCGAGGCCTGCAGTGAGGGCGTTCTCTGGAACTCCACCCCACAGGGGTCAGACTCCAGCTGTCTCCCTGTGCCCTGTGCCATGGCACCCATCCCAAGCTCTCTTGGGAGCATAACCTTCCTTAAGAATCGGGACTTCCCTGTTTCCTCTGTGCTCTAACTCTCCACGTTACCCCTTCCTTCTTGCCCTCTTGGGGATACAGGGATACAAGTGTCCCAAGTCTTAATCCCTTTGGGGACCTGGACTTCCAGGCTCCTAGGCAAGACCAGATTCCTGTGACTACAACTGCACAGGACTCCACGCCCGGTGTAACTTTCTGTTGTCACTATCTTGAAATGCTTTTTCTTCCATACCCCCACCCCTGCCCCCAGTACTAGAGATTAAATCCGGGGCCTTCCCGCTGAATTACATTCTCAGCCCTTTAAAAACTTAAATTAGCTGTGCATGGGGGCACCAGCCTGTGATCCCAGCTCTCGGGAGGCAGGGGCAGGAGGGTCTTCAGAGGATCTTTGCAAGTTCCAGACCACCCTGGGCTACAAAGAGAGCTCAAGGCCAGCCTGAACTGTATAATGAGACCTGCACATAAAGACACCCCCCAAAAAAAACCCGAAAAAAAAAACCCACCCAACTGGGCACGATGGGGTGTACACCTGTAATCCAAGCACTAGAGAGACTTGCGCAGGATGATTGCCACAAGTTTGAGGCCAGCCTTGGCTACATAGAGCCAAGACCAGCCTCAACTACATATCAAGACTCTGTCTCAAAAAAAAAAAAAAAAAAAAAAAAAAAAAAAAGTAAAAAAAAAAAAAGTTAATTTTTTTTTTTTTTTTTTTTTGCGGAACTGGGGATTGAACTCAGGCCCTTGCACTTGCCAGGCAAGCATTTATTCTACTGAGCTATCTCCCCGGCTCCTAACAATTTATATTTTTAAAAAGGGTTTTTGAGAAAACAAAACAAAAAGCCAGCACTAAAGTTGCTAAATTCCCCAGGCTGGGCTTGAGCATGTTCTCCTCCTGCCTCAACCTCCTAGACTGCTGGGATCACAGGCCTGCAACACTACCGCTGGCTTGCAACTCATTTTTTTTTTTTTTTATCAAGGATCCCTGCAAATTACAATTTAGCTGGTCCTGCACCTAGGGCTTCTCTTGCTGTTCAGCTTGTTCCTTAAACCTACCAGGATCAAGTCAGGATCAAGGTACAATGCACTCCAATTTTTGCCCGCGGACCCTACGCAGATGCTCCCCTCTAGCAAGATTTTGAGCACCTTGGTCCCTAATCTTGTGTGTGTATGGGGGGTGGTAGCTGCCCCGAGAGTCCAGCCCCCACCTTTGCTTCCTTGGGGACTCAGGCCTGGCGTCCGCTGCCCTCCTCCCCCGTGCGAAGCTGGCGGCAGTGCAGGCTGGGGCTGTGCCAGCTGCCCGTTCCGGTAAAGCCGCGGCCCTAGCGGAAGGGGTTAAGGTTGGAGGGAGCGCCGGGGAGGGGGGGCCTCGAGTGAGTGAAGGTTGCTGACGTGGGGAGGCTGAGCAGCTGGGCTGCGGTCTAGCTCTGCGGGAAGGGATTTCCCCGGCAGGCAGCTGAGGCCGAGTGTTTGCGCTGGGGACGGGAGGAGGCAGCGCGGGGTGAGGGGCTGCGGCTGGGGACCTGCGGCCCGGTGGCCTCTCCCTGCGCAGAGCGTCCAGGCCGCAAACACCTCACCCCTGGGGACAGATACAAAGGAAACCCGTTTCCAGATGACCCCCCAGGCACCCTGAGTGGGAGGAGCCGGTTTAGGGGGCCTTTGTGTATCAGGACTTTCTCTGCTAGGGCTGCAGACAGCCTCCACCCAACACCTGGGAGCCCCATCTGTCCGGCCACCACTCCCAAGAACTGAGCTTGGTCTGCCCAGGCCCATTCTGTGCCCCATACACAAGTGTACATATTGCGCTAAACGCTGGGCATGATGAGTGCTAGGATAAGGCCCCTGCACAAAACAGGGAAACTGAGGCTCGAGAATACAAGTTACTGGGTGGACCATTTTCCGGTTTCTATGTCTTCGTCCCAGGGATTAAACCCAGAGCCTCCATCACAGAGCTACCGCTCTCCGCTCCATGGCTTTCTTTATTTAAGGCAAGGTCTCACTAAATTGCTCAGGTGGCTTGAACTTGGGATCGCCCAGTCTCAGCCTCCCTTAGTGTTGGGAGATTAAATGATTTCAGGAAAACCATCCCTTTTAGTTCCTTTTGACAGAGGGGGAATATAAGGCACAAGGGGAAGACACGCGTGGGCCTTTGACGATTTCAACTTAGGTCGACTTCGCAACACTAACTATGCTCCCTCAGTTGCACTGAGTGCTCATTTTGTGCCTTTCACAGGGCTACAGCTAGAGTTCCCAGCAGCCTCAGGACCGTGAAATCAGTGCAGAGGACCGTCTGACTTAGCCAGCTATGACCACAAGACTATGAAGCAGACTAGAATAGAAAAGATCAAAATAGGTCCTGTGAAATAATAGTATTATTTTCTTTTTAGCCAGGGTCTGCGCTGTAGTGCAGGCTGGAGGGACTTGGACTTGTTATATGGCCTCGGTTGGCTTCATATTCAAGATCTTCCTGCCTCAGCTTCCCAAGTGCTGGGATGATAGGTAAGTGTGACCAATTTGTGCAAGTTTTACTTCAACTTCGTGTGTGCATGCATGCTGGGAGATAAAAATAATAGCTGTAGTATTAATCAGCACTCAGAAAACACCTACCAAACCAGGTTAGTGCTAGGTGGGCCTTATATGCATAATTCAAATAGACAATTGATCACAAATATACTTCTCCTTTTTTGGATTGGGATAAAATATTTGCGGGGCGAGGGTATTGCTCAGTGGTACAGTGTGCTTGGCATGCATGAGGCCCTGGGTTCAATCCCCAGCTCTGAAAACATGCGAAGCCCACTGCTCTCTCCAGGAACAGTCCCACGAGGTAACCTCTCTCAGAGCGTCCCTTTCTCAGCGGAGGAAGCTGAGGAGATGGTGCTTAAGATTACACAGTGCCAGCCAGCGGAGAAGGCATGAACCTAAGGCTGTGCGTCTGTATGTGGGGGGCTGACCACCGCTCCCGCACCTCCCACTCCTGGCTCCCAACGGGCTGTCACTCACGTGTCCCCATCCTCATCTGCACGGGTGGCTGTGGCGATGTCCACTGACAGGGGGTGTTCCATGGAGCACATCATGGGGTACAGTGGTGCAGGCAGGTTCAGCAGAGGAAAGGAGCCCACTGGTGGGGTTGGGTATAGAGGCAGTAGGGGTCCTGGGTAGGGACAGGGAGAGAGAGAGACCACAGGTAAGCTGAGCCCACAGACCACCTGCACCCACTGCAGACCTCAGCTACAGAAATGTTACAGTTCCCCCTCTTCAGTCTCTTATTAGAACTCAGGGGATCATTCTGCCTCAGCCTCCTGAGTGCTGGGATGGCAGGTGTGTGCCATTGCCTTAACTGGTCCTCCAGCTCCAAATCAACCTCCTGGCCCACATCCCTGCCCTGGGTGCCTGCAGCCTCCCACCCCCTCAGCTCCCTTTGTCCCTTGTCTTTCATGGGCCTGACCCCGACCTCACCAGGCAGAGCCCTTACATGGAGCAGCTAGAGCTGGGTCCCCACCCAGCATGGTCTCCAGGGCCTGCTTGCTGAATGGCATGGGCTGAGGTGGTCTGCGTGAAGACATAGGTGTGGACTGGACACAGACTTGGTCTGCAGGGAGTGGGGTCAGAGGGGCTCCAGAGCCCGGGCCAAGGCCCAAATAGGCCTGGGTATCAGGAAACCACATCCATTCAATGAACAAATAGTGGAAACTGAGGCCTGACTCTCACCCAGGGAAAAGGGAATGGAGGCCAAAGCTCCTCTTCTACTTCACTGATAGAATGGGAGCTTCAAAAACTAGATGAGGGCCTGGTGCCTAGAGATGGGCTCGAAGCAGCTCTTGGGGGCCCGTGGCGTCATAAGGTCGCTGTGGTAGGGGGTGAACTCAGGTCCTTGCGCTTGCCGGGCAAGCACTTATTCTACTGAGCTATCTCCCCGGCCCTGGTGCCCCCTTCTTGAGATCTGGCATGAGGACTGTGTGTGTTTTCCCTGTCATCTGTCATTCTTGGGAACTTGCATTCTTATTTCCAGGTTCCTGGGCTTCCAACTACCAGATCTTGGGGCTCTAAGTTTTTCCATGAAGAGCCTCTGGGAAGCTCATCTGGCCCAAATCCTTGAGTACCAGGATTCCCCAGTCGCAGACCTGCTAAACCCAGATAGAACCCTGATGACTTGGGACATGCTACCTGGCCCCAGGACTCTGGGTCTTGGTTCCCTGGGCTCTTCAGAACCCACACTCTCTGGTTCTTGGAGCATCAGACTTTCCCCCTTGGATCCTCCTGATGCCAGATATTGAGGTGCTCATCCCCCCACTCTCTCCTCCTAATTCCCACACTTCCATATGTTTGTTCCTGAGCAACTCCTGGCATTGTCCTCACGACCCTTCTGCTCAGTTGACTCCCTTTGAACCCACATATCTGGATACCACGAACCAGTGGGATTCCTCATATATATAGAGGGGTTCCCCCCTTGCCCTGGGGATGGGACCCTGGTGCACTCTACTTTTGGCTACCACCCCAGCTCTTTTTATTTTGAGACAGTCTCCTTAAATCGCCCAGGCAGGACTCAGCCTTGGCAATCCTTCTACCTCAATGCTGGTATTACAGGCCTGCACCATAGCGGTCTGTTGTTGTTGTTTTTTTTTTTTCCGGAACCGGATTGAACTCAGAGCCTTGCCATTCTGGTTCTTAAGTGGTTATAATTCCATACCCCTGCAAGGTCAGGCTCTGCCCCCAGGTTTTGACTCCCCCATCTGTATCTCTGGGCATTGTCCCCTGGGTTCCCCTTATGTGTGTCACTGGGCCCTGGGGGCTCTGTCCTGCAGGGTTCTTGGCTCCCCGAAACTCTCATATCTGTGTCCCAAAGTCCAGCTGGCTGCTTTCTAAAGATTTCCTATTCCTGTCTGCAGTCGCCTGGATCCCCGGAACTCCATGCACTTGGGTCCCCAGCGCTGTTCCCCGTAATGACCCTGTGCCCGGGGCCGCGGAGCCACTCACCCGGGTAGTAGAGCGCCTCGGGCCTGGGCAGGCCATGAGGGGGCGCGGGCACAGCAGGGGCGTCGCAGCCGCTGCGCAGGGGGTCCGGGGGCGCGGCGCGGGGCACAGCGGGGCCCGGCGAGGGCTCGCGCAGGGGGCGCTTGCGGAGAGGCAGCGCGGCGCCGGGCGCAGCGGTCTTGGGCCGGGTGCGCAGGTCCACCGGCCCGTCGTCCATGGCCCCCGCGGGGCATCGGGGCATGGGGCCGCCTGGGACGGCGGCGGAGCGCTGCACGGAGGCACGGGAGGGCGCTGTCGCGGGCACAGGGACTTCCCCCGCCGCCGGCTCGGCCGAAGGGACTTTTGTCGCCGGGGCGGTGCCGTCGCCCGCCTCTCGCCCCCGCCCCCCGGCCCCGCCGCCCCAGGGGTTTCCTGGACCCGCGGAGCCGCCGCGCCCGCGCCCTCCCCGGCTTGCGCCCGGTTCCCGGGGAGGAGCCAGGCTTGTCCCGCCCCGCCGGTTGCACCCGAGTCGCGGATTGTGGGTCTGACTCGGGAGAATGCAGGTGTCAGGGTGCCACTCCTTCTGTCCCCGCGTCTGGTCTCTGTCTCGGTAGTCCCTAGGTGTCTTTCCCTTACTCGCTGTTTCTCCGTCCTTCCCGCCCCGCTCCCCAATTCCTGGAGGCCATGGGACCACTAGGACTAGGGGCCGCTGGGACGGGTTCGAATTACTATTCCCACTTCCTCCCTGGGTGACCTTGACCGGGCACTTCCCCTTTTGGAGCCGCTTCCTTCTTTTATTTTATTTATTTATTTATTTATTTATTTATTTATTTATTTTTTGACAGTCTTGCTTCATAGTCCTAGCTGGCCTCGAACTGGTGGCAATCTTCCTGCCTCGGCCTCCCAGGTGCCGCGATTGTGGGAATGAAGACACTCGCCCAGGGCTGGGAACCCTCCACCCCCAACCCCATTCTGCCTCCTTCCCGCTCCCCTTCAGCTGAGGGCGGGGACGGACAGGGGTGCACGCCGAAGAGGCCTGTGTCTCTGCCTGCGGAGCACAGGGAGGTGCTGGGGGAGCCCCAGGTGCACTGAAGGAAAGAGAAAGGGAACAGAGACCCAGAGGTCGCGAGGGACTAGGCAAGAGGCGCTGAGGAGCAGCATGGTGGAGGTTGGGGAGGGGGCCTGACCCCCCATCCACTTTTTCCCCTCCGGCGCGGCCTGGGTGGGGGAAAGGGCCCATCGGGCGGGGGAGGTGACTCAGACCACACCCGCCCCGTCCCCTCCCTCCTATGCCCGCCCCAAGGCGGGGCGCAGCGGCGCGGGGCTTTCCCGGATTTCCCTGGGGGCGGGGTCGCGGCCGGGGTTGAGTCCAGGTCACTGAGTCACAGGAGGAGGAGGGGAGGTTCTGGGGACCTAAGGACCCGAAGGAGTAGGGCCTGCACACCAGACCCGTTCAGGGGACACGCAAGGAGTCTCCGTGTCCCTGTCTGGGTGTCCCTTGGCCTCGGCCACTCTGTCCCTCTGTCCTCAACTTTCCTCTGTTTCCGGTCTCCACCCCCACCCCGTTCCTTTTTGTAGTAGTGGAGATGTAACCCAGGCCTCCACGCTGAGCTACATCCCCAGCCCCTTTTTTATCTTGTGTTTTGAGACAAGGCCTTACTAAGTTGCTAAATTGCCCAGTCTGTGCTCTAACATGCCATCCCCTGCCTCAGCCATACACAGTGCAGGATTACAGGCCTGCGTGATCACCAGGCCTTGTCCCTTTTCTCGGGATCTTTGTTTCTCTAGTGTCTTTTCTGTGACCCTGAGAGTGGGTGTGTGGCCCCGGTTCCCTAGGAAGGACTTTGGCCATTTGCTCATGTCCCGGTGGATGGTTAACCCAAGATATGGGAGCTAGTGCCCAGCGGCCTCAGCCCTTGTTCCTGCAGATGTGACCTCAGTGCCTGGCTGCGAGGAGGAGGCACAGGCCTGGACTCCCATCACCTTCACCCCTTGCTCCCTGTGGGACCCTGCACAAGCCACCCCCTTCCTGAGACTGCTTCTCTGCAAAGTGGGGTGGAGGTCCACCCTTTATGCAGTGTCCAGCCCTCCCCTGCAGCACCACTGACAGAAAGGAACCTGAGGACTGGGTGGGGCCTAGAGAAGTGATTCTGAGAGATGGGGTTGCAAGGACCCCAAGGCTTCCCACTCCTGTCTTCCTGGGGTAGGTGGTGCGGTGGTTTGGCCAGGCAGGACCAGCAAAGGCAGTGTCTGCCCAGGGGGGGCATCCATGGGCCTGGTGCTGACTGTGCCCAAGCTCAGGATTAATGGTGGGCAAGAGGGTCTGAGGGAGGGGTGAGGTCTGGGGGAGGGGAAAGTTGTTGAGAAAGGGAAGAGGTGGGGGAGGGGAGTCCTGAGGGAGGGCATGAGGTCTGGGGGATGGGGAAATTTCTAGGGGAAGGCAAGAGTTCTAGGGGAGGGGTGAGGTACGAGGGAAAGGACACAGCCTGTACACGTCTGGAAAGGACGGAGGGGGAGAAGCAGCTCACAGAGGGAGCGAATGAAGCCGGGGTTTGGGGGATCTGTACAGGAAGAGACACTAGAGGGCCCTCTGTGGGGGAGGGGAGGAGGCTGCGGACCCAGAGCCACCGCAGGGAAGGGAAGGAGCCGGGAGCGCCCCGCCCAGCAGCTGTCTGACTTCCCAGAATCTTCTGGCTCAGGAAAGTCCCGGCTCCCACGGTGGCCTCCCTCCCGTGGCAGGAATGGGGGCTGCAGAACCAGGACGGCCCCTAGCTCCCCCCTGCTCTCTGCCTCCCAGGACCGCGGTCCCCGGAGCTGTGGAGGTCCCTCCGTGGCAGGGGCCGCCCCTGGATGAGTCCCAGAAACTTCCCAGAGGAGGCCGGAAGCGCTGCTCAGTGTCTCACCACTTTCTGCATGGCCTCCCATGTTCAGATCTCCTCCTCTTGAGGGAAGCCGGCCTAGATTTCACTTGCTGGGGTCCCCGAAGGCTGGGGGCCTGGAGTAGCGCTCCTGCTCTCTGAACCTCGATTTCCTCTGCTGGAGAAGGTGTGGCTGCCTCAGCTCTTAGGCCCTTGGCTCTGCTTCAGGCTGAGGGACTGCCAGAGCTGTGTCCTTGCCCCCCACAGCAGTTTACCTTCCTGGAGCCTCGGGTTCCTTAACTGTAAAATGGACCAAGTCAAGAAAACATGCTTTTTGTAGGGCATGAGGGAGGCTGAAGCAGGGGGATGGCAAGTTGGAGGCCAGCCTGGACATTTTATCAATTTAGTGAGAAACTGTCTCACCAAAAAAAAAAAAAAAAAAAGACTGGACGTATAGCTGAGTGTGAAGGCCCTGGCTTCCATCCCCCCGAGTGTGTGCGCGCAGTGCTACGGGACCTAATGTATAAAACATTCAATGCAACAACCGAGTTGTTAGTATTGTTAGAAGAATGATACATAAAGATGTCATTACCACTCTCATGAACCAGCCCATGACTGCAGTAGGAGGACCCATTTCGTGGCAGCAGGGGTGGGGGTGGGAATGGATCAGATGTCCTGGGCTTAGGGACACACCGCATTCCTGGACCTGCTGTGCCAGCAGTGTGACCTCCCTTGTGGGTAGTTTTCCCTCTCTGTGCCTTCACCAGGGCTTTACTAGTGGAGGATGGTACCAGGTCTCAGCCTCATAGGACAATAAAGCAGATTAAGTGAGCCCAGGGTATGGCATGAATGAATGAATGAATGAATGAATGAATGAATGAATGAATGAATGAATTCCATCCCAAGCTCCACACTGAAATGGCAAGGAGAACAAATGTCACTACCCAGGGTCAGCCAGGGATCCTGGGAGAACTGCCCTTGTAGGCCAGGTCTCCATGACTCCTGGAGGGCGGGCTTTAGTGCAGCGGCTTCAGGGCCTGCTCTTCCACTTCTCTTTTTAGACCACTGCTCCCTGGGAAGGAATGGTTTAGATGAAGAAACTGAGGCACGGGGAATAGAGTCCTGTGTTCCGGGATCAGTCAGCATGATCCGCGCTTCAGTCTGTGTTGCCTCCAGAGAAAGTGGGTTTGGGTAGGCAGAGAGGTCCTCATTGTAGCAAGAGCCAGAGTCAGACTGCGGACCCCCTCATGTAGAAGGAAAGAAAGCCAGAGTGGGGCATGGTGTCACGCACCTATAATCCAAGTACTCAGGAGGCTGAAGCAGGAGGGGGGCTGCAAATTGGAAGCCAGCCTAGGGTACATGGTGAGTTCAAGGCCAGCTTGCACTACATAGTGAGACTCTGTCTCAAATAAAGAAGGTAATGCCCTCCACAGAAGGAAAGCAGACCCCAGCCCAGCGGGCAGTGGGGCAGAGAGGGAGTGCTCAGGGCCCTCAGCCTCCTCCTGGGCCCACTGTGGGCAAAGGCTGCTTCCTCAAGCAGGCCTGCACCTCCTGGTCCCCTGTGGCCCAGGGGCCTTGGCTGCTGTTGCAGCCCCTGGCAGCAGAGGCAAAGCAGCGCAGCTGGGCTCTGCTGGGGCTTCGTCTTCCCCTTTCTTCCTCTCACTGGGTCTGCACACAGGATGAGCTGAGTCAGAGGATTTCAACATCTGGGTCTCCATGATGGGCCTGGAGTATGGACACCATGGCTCCTCCCCCTACTGTACAGCTGGCAGGAGATAGTGAGACTGGGTGTGGGAAGGGTGTACGAACAGAAGGACAGAGGGAATCACAGTGGGACTACACTAGACAACTGGGTGGTGGGCTTCTGAGCCTCAGCACCCTTGTGCATAAAGGGACACTGCCTAATAATTGCTTCCATCCAAATTCCAGCTCTTCTGTTTATCAGCTGTGTGACCTCAGGCAGGTGACTTGCCCTCTCAGGGCTGCGGTTTCTGCATTTATAGAATGGAAAGAAATAGTGCAGGCCACCTGGTGGCCGTGAGAGTCAGAGTGCGTGAATCCCTGAGGCCCAGTCCTGCATAGTGTGAGTTTTCAGAGGGCATTCAGGGATCAAACTCAGGACCTTGTGCTTGCGAGTCAATTGCTTAAACCGCTGATGGGCTGGTGAGATGGCTCAGTGGTCTAAAGCACCTACTTAGAACAAGCTTATCAAAGCACAGGGACCACGGTTCAATCCCCCAGCACCACATGCCAGCCAGCCCCGCCCCCTGGTGGGCTGAGCTGGCCACACACACACACACACACACACACACACACACACACAAATAAATAAATTAATTAATTAAAACAAAAACAAAAAAAAAAAAAAAAAACGCTGAGCGCACACTTGTAATCCCAATGTTGGGGAGGCTGAGACAGGAGGATCACTACGAGTCTGAGCTGCGTAGCGAGATCCTGCACCAAATAAATAAATAAATAAACAAACAAACAAACTCAGGGCGGCCAAATAGCTCAGCAGATTAAAGGGCCTACTAGTCTGGGCATGGTTGT